TACAGTTATAGTTCGAGTGCATGTCGTGTGTTGCCATCTGACGGCAAAAACCGGAAGGCCACGACCGTTAGAGGCATCTAACGGTCAWAAATTGTCTTATTACAGTTAGTGTTTGAAAATKTCATGATATATTTAGTGTTATAAATATCTATATTTTTTAATAAGTTTTATTTTTACGTATACCTAAGTAATTGTCATAAACTCATAACTCACCTTTAAAATGTTATAATATTAGGGAAAACAATCACTAACTACTTATTAGTGATAGTTTTCTTTGGTTAGGTTATTATTAAATAATCATCATTAATATTTTTGTATTTAAAAATATATAAATGTTTCACGTTTTTGTTAAAATAATTAAAATATTTCATCACACCGGATTTTATACTTCATACTCTAATTATAGTGGATATTATCATAATACGATTAATGTGCCGTTCGAATTTTACTTAATTATTTTAGAACTGATTCATATCGGTAACCTACTAGAAATGTTTTACAGACAACCGTTTTACAAAAATGTATTGCCATTTTAGGATACTCATAAAAAATGATTTTAGAAACTCTCTTTCGATAATAATTATAGAAATTATAGCATATTATCTCCTATAAAGTTTTGATTTTTAAATTTTTAACATTTATTAGAATCTATACAATCTGTTGAAATTATTAAAATCATAAAAATATTAGAGTAAAGTTGTATTATTCTGTATTATTAATGTATTGATTTTACAATGTTGGGTATTTTTTCGTGTGTCTGTGTACACGATAAGTTGTCGAAATAAAGCTTTGATTTTTAACTACAGTTGCTTTTCCGGTTGGAAAGTGAATCTAATGTGTACAATGGTGAGGTCAAATTTTGAAATTACCAGTAGTTTTCAGAAGCAACGGAAAAACAAAAAAAAAAAAAAAAATTAAGAAAAACAGGACTGATTACGCAAAATCAATTTTAGAGAAAATCGATTTCAGATATTGGCGTAGGTAACTTTAAAACAAATAACCGTATAGACACTTGAAATTTTCACTGAATGTTTTTACTTTCATTTTCTATACTTGATAAAAATATTTTCAAAATGTTTAAAATATTTTTAAGTTATTGATAGATATTTTAAATTTTCAATCTTTTTAGTTTTTTATAAATGATAATACAATTTTATCCATTTAGTAAAAAAGCTTAAAAATTAAAAATTAAGTATGAGGTTCCCTATAAGTTTATATTATAGTAGTTTGAAGATATTAAAAATGTATTGGCAGATTTTTTATAACCATTTAAAGTTCAAATTTTGTCAAAATGTATTTAATTGTAAATTTACAAATTATTTAGTTGCTAAACAATTAAAAAACATTTAACTTTTAAAGGTAAGGATTGAAAATTTAAATCAAGGTTAGGTAAGTAGTTAATTCTGCGACAAAATATCTAAAAACTAAACAAACACAGTTTTTTTAAATAGGTAGTTATTTTAAGTTTAAATTTGGATGAAATTACATATTAAATAATCAAGACTAATAATTTTAATTATATTTTCGTAATACATTTAAAAATATTATACGTGGGTACTTGAAATTTCTAGAATATGCTTTAAATTCTAATTGTAATAGTTAATTTCGTTAATGACTTATATTAATAATTAATAATTCATTTTTTATACCTACTATGAACGACTGAGTCAGTCGGGTACATAATGAATCATATCTGATTCATTAGGAATTTATTTTATAGTAACCTACTTTTTTTTTTTGAAATAACAACAATATTATAATATAGTGTACAACTATAAAATATCCTAGACTGACAAATTGTCTCTGCTCATAATCGTTTTTCGTATACAAATATATTATATCATTGAATTCAAATTTAATACYATCCATTACAGTAACCCACTTGTATTTACTGTACAGCAGAGCGACATCCACTTACCCACTTTTTTCGTTTTGAGTTATGACGAATAATATATTATTAAAATGTAAAAACATTGTACATTATTACCCATATACTTCACAGGTATAACGGATGGACACAGCGCTGATGTAAGGTGTTA